ACAGACAGAAAGAGTTATCACCTGTGTGTGGAGATCCACGGAGCTTCGTCCTGCGTACTGCGCCATTTTGTGACGATGATTGAGATGGTTACATTGTTTCTGCAATGATAATCAGTTATTTATAATGAACTAACACGATCATCACTACGATATAAAACATATACAATAACGCATTTWTTTTTCTCGGCAAACCTGCACTTTTTCTTTATTCARCAAATCAGGATAAGACGTCATCGCTCCTATGGCAACAGCTAACAGTCGATGAACTAACACGTCTGAATATCTAAAATAAAAAAAATGTCTTTCTTTCTATTTCATTAGTGTAATTAGTAATTGACAGAGAACGTATTCCTCTAACAAAATGAAAAAGATCGCTCTTCGCTATATTGTCGTGAAGAGATCGGAAGCTCAGATCGGACAGATCTTGGGAAAGAATCGGGTATTCGGGTGGTCTTGTTTCCACCCTTCCTTACTCTACAAATAAAGTCAGTAGTCAGGATGAATTGAACTCCCTTTTTGTGACACTAAAAGAAAGAACTGTAAAAACGCCTTGTGGAAAAGAGAAACTACTATTCACAATAACTTGTCAAAGCCGCATTAAAGCTACCAGTAAGAAATGAAGTAACAGAAGCAAGGGATAGTTTAAAGTTAAGGCTGATTTACACGGTACGATTTGTCGCGCGCGACTTGTAGTATACGATTTCCCTCAACTACAAGTCGTAGGATTTTAAGCAGTGGTTCAAAACCCTACTACAAGTCGTAGGTTGCGTACGACTGTTGTAGACAATTAGTCGTAGGGGCATTTACACTGCGCAATTCAAGTCGTATACTACAAGTCGTGCGTGACAAATCGTACCGTGTAAATCAGCCTAAATAAACGATTATTGTCACAATGTCAGGAAGTGGACAACTTCAACACTCTGAATGCGAAAGTTTACAAATCGAATGGTAATTTATTGAATTTATTTAAGTGTTCAAGGTGACCTGACTGTGGTGTTTTGAGTAAAACCACTACGAGAAGGTGTTCGTTCGATGCCTCCTTTATTACTCACACTCTCTCGTAACAATATAACACGTGCCAATATGCTAATTAGTAGTGACGACACTACACTGACTATTATTGTCCAGAACCTGAATGTGAGCTTATCCAGACTACCCGGCATGCACTACTACAAACCTTCTTATAGGTGACGTAAAGTGTGTATAAATTGGTGAAGCTAGACCATAATGGCAGTACTGGTCCTCAGGGAGCATGCCTGAACAGAAGTAAACCGCTTCCATCATGCACCGTGTTGTTAAGATACGTAACATTGTGTTAAAGTACGGCTCGTCAGGTAAGACTGCATTGTCTAGCGAAACGGCCAAATCTTTCGCTGTGTCTGTTTTCATTTCAATCCCCTATAAAAAAATATTAAATATAACGTTAGATGTTATTAATTTTATTATAATAAATAATATACAAATCACGAATTGAGAGGGAAAGCGACAAAAAAGAAAAAAAGATAACCCCGACTCTTCGGATWTCTAGCTTCAGTCACCACAAACATTCAGTTYATCTTYACGTACGTTACCTTGGATTGCGCTGCCTTGACTAGTATATTGTAGTTWGATGGCGGTGGTGCAGGATGCCGTCGCAGCACTGCAAACTCTGGAAAGTGTTCATAGATCTTTTTGGCGACTGAGATGTTTGCTAGCAACATAAACTCTTCGACCATGGAGTTTGTATCCCTTTAAAAGA